CCGCCTGTGCCCCACCGGTACCGGAACGAGGCGATGAGTTGGAGAGATACGAAGAGGCGCCTGAACTCGACGCCTCTGCAGGCGTGGGCTTGTATGGCGCAGACATGATGGTGGCGTCTGACCAAAGACGAGCAGAGCGGGAGAGGCAAAGTGGAGTAATGGGGAGAGGAAAATTAGAAGATGTTAGGGCGGAAGGGGGGGTTGTCGTGCGGAAGGACGCAGCGCGTGCCAGCTGGCCCAAGGTGAGCTGGAAGCTTGGACCTCGCCATCCCACCCATCACATCGTCTACCTCCATCGCTTCCTAGCTGCCCCGACGCCAAGCGCACCACATACGACACAGCACCAGCCACAACCCTTCAAGAGTCGGTGTTGGTTTTGCGCGCATTCTCATCGCGACTTTTACCTCCCGAGCGGTGTCGTACGACCTCTCGACACTCGCATTACCAGCGTCAACCCTCAACCTTGAACAATGGCGTCACAACCATCGGCCCTTGGCGGGCTGCTCTTTGCGTTGTGTGCACTCTTCCTGCTCTCCCTTACACCCTCGGTATCAGGAGCAGCCCTAACGACGCTCGTCGAACCAAACGAGCGCTCGTGCTTCTACGCGTGGGTCGACGCCGCAGGCGAGAAAGTAGGCTTCTACTTTGCCGTGCAATCCGGCGGTCACTTTGACATCGACTACACCGTGCACGATCCGGACAACAAGCTCATCATCTCGGGCCACAAGGAGCGCCAGCTCGACATTATCTTTACCGGCAACACGGTGGGCGAGTACACGTTCTGCTTTGAAAACGCCATGAGCACGGTGGCGGAAAAACTGATTGATTTCGACATCACGGTCGAGAGCGAACCTCGTCTGGACCTCCCCATCACGCCGGCTAAACTGCTCAAGGAGCATTCGGCCCCGCTGGAAGAGGGCATCTCGAACCTCAACGACAAGTTGACCCAGATCACGCGCACCCAGAGGTACTTTCGGGTGCGCGAGAATCGCAACTTCAACACGGTCAAGAGCACCCAGTCCAAGATCTTCTGGTACTCGGTGGTGGAAAGCGCCACCATGGTCGGCATCAGCGCCGCACAGGTGTACATCGTCAGGACGCTGTTCGAAAAGGGCAGCACCAAGAGGTACCGCGTCTAAATCTCATCCTCGCTTCTCGTCTCGACTCGCTTCGCAGTGACTGGGTTTTGAATTGCACATTGAAACGCTGATTGATGCGGAGGAGGGGGGGGATTCTACTCGGACTCAAAGGTGACCAGTGTAGTGGCTTCAGGGACGAGAGCGCCGGGCTTGCACTTGCCACTGATGCTTTTGATCACTGCATCCCTGGGCGCCTTGAGGGCAATTTCGGTCTTCATGGCCTCGAGAATGACGAGCGTCTCGCCCTTGTTGACGTGCTGCCCTGGCTTGACCTTGCAGTCTACGATCTTGCTCGGCATGGGGCTGGCGAGTGCATCGCCCACCGGTCCCGCCGCCGCCTCCGAGATCTTTGCAAACCAAGCGGGAGCTACGATGCTGAACGACGTCACCACGCCCGTGGGCATAAACGTGGTCAGCCCCGTCCTCGTCGCCTCCACAGTCGTACATCCCGTGGTTCTGAGTCCCTTGAACTCCTCCACTCCCTTGCCTTGGACTTTGACGTCGAACGCGTCGTCGACGGGAGTCACTGACACACGGAGGGGGCCGAGTGTTTTGTGGCTCAGCTCCCAGCTCCGGGTTTGGGCAGGACGGAAGGCGGGGTTGGTCCAGATACTCGCCTTGCCCTCTCCCGCCTCGCCCTCGCTCAGGGCAGCAGCGGCGTCGCGCTGGTACAGCCAGATTGCGCCCTGGGCCACCGCCTCCTGCAGCTGCAGCTCCGACGTGTGCGGGTCGCCAAACAGGCCCGTCTGGCCGTGCTTGGCGATGAAGCCCGTCTCGACGTCGCCGGCGATGAACCTGGGGTGGCGCACGAGGTTCTTGAGAAACTGAATGTTGGTCGACGGTCCGACGACTTGGTACTGGTTGAGCGCGTTGGCCATGATGCGCAGCGCCTCGGTGCGGTCGCGACCCTTGACGATGAGCTTGGCGATCATGGGGTCGTAGTGCACCGAGATCTCGTCGCCACTGACGAAGCCGGTATCCACCCTCACCACCGCCTCGGGCTGTTGTTCGGACCCGACCACTCCACCGCTGCGCGGTGCCAGTGCGCTGTTGGAGTGGGTGAGGGTCGAGGTGGATGGAAGGGCGACGTGGACGAGTCTTCCCGTGTCAGGGAGGAAGTTGGCATCGGTGTTTTCGGCGTAGATCCTCGCTTCGAACGCATGGCCCTCGATCTTCAGCTCGTCCTGCAGCAGCGGAAGCCTGTTGCCTGCGGCCACCTCGAGCTGCCACTCGACCAGGTCGAGGCCGGAAACCATCTCGGTGACCGGATGCTCCACCTGCAGCCGCGTGTTCATCTCCATAAAGTAAAAGTTCTCGGGTCTCTTGGCGTCGAGAATGAACTCGACCGTTCCTGCGCCCACATAGCCCACCGCCTTTGCTGCCGCCACAGCCTTTTCGCCGAGTTCGCGACGCAGGTGCTCGGGCAGGTGCGGGGCGGGGGCTTCCTCGATGATCTTCTGGTGTCGACGTTGGACCGAGCAGTCGCGCTCCGAGATGTACACCGCATTGCCGTGCTTGTCGGCAAACACCTGCACCTCGACATGCCTGGGCGCAGTAAGGTACTTTTCGATCAGCACCGTCGCGTCACCGAACGACTTGGCCGCCTCACGCTGGGCGGACTCGAGCGCGTCGCCGAACTCGGCCGGGGTGTCGGCGATCTTCATGCCCTTACCGCCTCCGCCCTTGACGGCCTTGATGAGGACGGGGTAGCCGATCTTGTCGGCCTCTTGCGCCAGGAATGCCGGGTCTTGATTGTCGCCGTGGTATCCAGGTACGCAGGGGACGCCTGCGTTGAGCATGATGTGCTTGCTTGCGCTCTTGGATCCCATGGCGTCGATAGCGCTTGCAGGCGGGCCCATGAAGGTGACGTTGCTCTGCTCGAGCAGCGCTGCGAACGCGGCGTTTTCAGAGAGGAAGCCGTAGCCCGGGTGGATCATGGTCGCGCCCGTGCGGTGGGCTACGGCCAGGATCTTGTCTTGGCGCAGGTACGATTCGGCCGACGCAGCAGGGCCGATGCAGTACGCCTCGTCGGCAAGCCGTACGTGCTGCGCCTTGGCATCCGCCTCGGAAAAGACGGCGACGGTGGAGATGCCCAGTCGACGACAGGTGCGGATGATGCGACACGCAATCTCGCCGCGGTTGGCGATCAGGATCTTGGCGGGCAACGGCTTGAGACCCGGCTGGGCAGACGCCACGGTTGAGGCGCGACGCACCGTGATGGATGGAGCAATAGGCTCGCGACGCACGTGCAGCTGTCGTACAGCCGCCACGACGCGCACAGAGGATGCAGCACTAGCCGTGGCAAGCACCGCACCCCGACGCACCGCCAGGCGCGGTCGCAGAGCCAGCCGAGTCGTACGCAACATCGCCGATGCCAAATAGCCAGTGTAAGAGTGGCTGTGGGAGCGGAGCGTAGAGGAGGAAGGGCAAGGAAAAGGGAGGGTTTCGCGGAGAGATGGAGGTGAAGAAGCAAGGAAAGATGCGATGCGTATGGTAGGGAGGGCAAGAAGAAGAGCCCGGTCATGGCGCAAACTGCTGGTGAGCCGACCGCACCCGTCGCTTCAAGCGGGGCAGCACCTCCAGCCGGCCGGCGAGGGGAAAAAAGTGCGGAGACTCCGAAAAAAGGCGGGGGAGCCCTTTCGAAAAGCCGCACCGCGTCGCGCTCGGACCGGCACGCTCGGCTTTGACGGTCCACCCGCTCTGCACTCTAACACGCCCATCCCCTCCCCCTTCCAGCCCCTCCCTCACACAGCACAGTCACTGCGCAGCATACGAATAACAGATACAATAAAACGCACTCAACAAATACAATCTACTCTGCCGCTGTTGCCGGCTTGGGGCTCTTGGGTGGGGCGGTGGGACTGCCGTGCGCACCGGGCGAAGCGCCAGGCGCCGGGCCCGCATTGCCGTAGACGCGCTTGTTGACGTTGGCGCGGTGCAGCCGGTTGCGCAGGTGGATCTCAAAGTTGGTCAGGCTCTCGCCCGGGCCCGGCGTGTACAGCTTGCCGGGGCAGTCCAGGCAGCGCACTCGCCACTCGGGCTGCGGCGGCGCAGCCACCCCCGCCGGTCGCGGTCGCTGCTGGATCTCGAACCGGTCGTTCGGATAGCGTGCCTTGAGCGCCTCGGCCGACTGCGTCAGCCACTCGGGCGGCGTCGCGCCCGGCACCGCTCCCATGCGCGGCGACACGTTCGACAGCACAGGCGTCCCCGTCGCTCCCGGAGAACCTGCCAGCGCTGGCACCGCTGCTGTGGGCGCCGTCGTCGCTGCCGCGCCGCCATGGTCGCCCGCATCATCGGCTTCGGCCTTGACCGCAACGCCTGCGTCGACCGCCGCACCACTGCTACCTGCTGTCTCGGCAGCCGCAGCCACAGTCGCCGTCTCAGCCTCGGTCGCCGTCGCGCTCTCGGCTGCGGCGTACGACGCCGACACCTTCTCGCGCGCGTTCTCCGCCGCCGTACGCCGCGCCGGCGCCGCCTCGTCACCACCCACCGGCTGC